AACTACTACTAAAGGACAAAAACCAAGAAGTGGCTTTTATACGAATTTTTAAAACTTAATGGGCGAAAACTGCAAAATTCGAAAAAATTGTCGATCATTTCAAAAATGTATTTCTCAAATACTAAAAGCGATTTTTCAAAACGGCTTGTTGCATTAAAAAGAGGATACTTTAATTAATAATTGATGATATTTCCACAAGGATCCTTCAAGAAATGAATTTTATAGCGAATTTTGAAAATTATCGATGAAAATTGCAACATCGAAAATTTTATCAAAACTTCAAATATTATTTTTTCAAAAACTAAAAGTTATTTTTCAAAACGTGTTGGTTCATTGAAAAGAGGACACTTTTATTAACACTTTGGGAAATTTTCATACTCATATTCCAAAAAACGAATTTTATACGAATTTTTAAAAATTAATCGCCGAAAATTGCAAAATTTGAAAAAATTGTCCATCATTTCAAAAATTTATTTCTCAAGAACTGAAAGTAATTTTTCAAAACGGCTTTTTGCATTAAAAGGAGGATACTTTAATTAATAATTGAAAGAGATCACAGCGACAGTTCTGTTAGAAATAGTAGTAGTAGAAAACTAGACGAAACTGCAACAAGAGATTTTATATATCGTATTTGGATTGTTACAATGGTTGCTAATGAGAAACCTAACAATTATTATTATTAAAAGAGATACTAATTCCTGTGAATGATGGAGTACTAAGTAATAGGTTTTTAATATTCAGCCAAAGCCGGATATCCGTTCCAACACTAATAATCACGAATCCCACTTAAGCATTGACGCTTTAGATCTAACCAAAAAATTTGTAGTCTGTGGTCTTACTCTGCACCCACACACAACAGCTAAAATGCAACCACTTTAAGTGGGCTTTAACGGACCTTTTAGAGATCAAGCATTTTTTGAAGAAATAGATTTCATGCCGTCAGCACTCACCGATAGAGAAAAACCAGGTCCATCTACAGAATTGCCCGTTTCTGCTTCTTCAAACCACCTGCGATATGAGCCAAACAATTTTGGCAGTGTTTTATCAAAGGCAACATACGCTAAAGACCCTATTCGAAGAAAAGCTGAAAGTCTATCGGTACTACAAATGGATGAGTCTATATATGAAGACATTTCTGCTGAAATCAGCAATCATGACAGCATAAGATTTGAAGAACCTTTTGCAAGCTTTTCTTTTTATACTAAGAATAAATTCAAATCACCCAAAGAATTTATGCCACCTTTAAAGGCTGGTCCACGAACTGACATTTATAAGCCAAGAAAGCTAAAGAGAAGCATGATTGCGACGAACACTCCTGAAAAAAAGTAAATTGCGAGCATCTTCGTAGTCATATCTTAGGTTCGTTCAGTTAACCAAACAGTTGTTTCTGTTTTTACGAAGTCAAATATCTTAACACGTTCCTGTTTGTCAGTGGACAAGTTTTTTAGATGCAACAACTTTTTCTTTCCTTCTTCATCTACTTCCTCTCTTGCCGTTATTAGGTTTTTTTGTTCACTTTTTGAACTTGTTTCTGAAAAAGGTTTTACATAACGTTCGAAACATCAAAGAGCATGAGAGGATTATCCAATTGAATAAGATCTGGCGGTATGATAGATTACAAAGCATTAATAAGAAAGAAACCATCTAATAATTTAATGTTAAAAGTACAAAATATGAAATAAAACTGAAACTAGAAACTTTCGGGCATAACCAACTGCGAAATTCTTTGAAAAAATCCTGAAGCGTACGTAGCAAGAAATAACTATCTAAATGTAATCGATCAAGGACTTCTGGTGATAAAAACAAATTAAAATCAAAAAATTGGTTTTTGATGGCAAATATAAAGTTCACTGGAAAAGATTAACAGTTACTAAAGCAGGAATGGATTCTGAACAATTCAAAAACTTTTTGCAGGAGTAGGTTATTTTTAATTTAAACGCACGCAGATGTGCTGAAAATATAGGAGCTAGGTAATGGAGACCTTTTGATCAGCACTCCTCAACAGAGCCTCCAAATCAATAGAAGTTCAAAACAAATCAATCATAATGCAGTACATTTATTGAAAGTATACATGTCCATAGATAACTATATAAATTACAACAATACAAGCAAGAATGTAAATAGTATATTGACTGATACACAATTTCCTTTGTGAAAACATAAACTGTTGTCTGCATTAGAAATGATGAACGAGTCAATATCATACATTGTTACACTTTATCAGTAAGCTTAAGCTGCCCCCTTGCTCAATCAACATTTAATTTAAATTTGATTATTATTCAAGTTTATTATTTCTGTCATTTTTCCCACAAGACTATTTCGTATGATGAAGTACTTGAAATATTACCCAAAAAAACTAACGGCTTCGTTCTCCAATTAAGATTACATTGAATTATCACTAAATATTTGTGACTTCGTCGTCTCCACGTTCTAGGGTTCTAAGAAAAAAGTGCTTCGAAAAAACGTTACACATAGAAAATAAAAATTTAAACGTTAGATAATCAATTAAAATATTAAATTTGATCTTGTTTCCTTTTCTTGCACTGTCCATATCCTTCTGCTATTGACACATTTCGACAAACTCCAAAACGTGCTCTTCTATTTTTCCATCTTTTCCGCGGACTGGAATAGTTATGGGCATTGTTGGCAAGCTCCAAGGTTCTCCATCGGTAATTTCCATCGCTAAGCGTTCTGGAGATCTACTTCCAATAATAAAATGACCTTCAGTTAGAGGTAGTAGATCTTTTAGTAATAACCAAACGTTTTCATTTGCAACAATATGAACTTTAGGTATGGGAAAACCATTGAAAGGACTTGCCACAGGTAGTGTGTAAGCTCCCATATTTTCAAAAATTAACCAGTCACCCAAATGCAGTTCTGGTAATAATACATTTGGTAGAACTTCATCTAAAGCATCACAAGTTGGTCCCCAAACACTGCTACTTTTTAAGCCAGAATCGGGATATTCCTAAAATTAAATTAAATAAATATCTAATAAATTAAAGTTTTTTTATATTACTTTTAAAGGTTGCGCAACAACTTTTTGGTGATCATACAAGATACAGTTAAAACTTCCATAAACACCATCATTAATGTAGTACATATAATGTTTATCTCCATTTTTATTATTAACAGTTCTTATGGAATGGATATTGCAAGCCAAAGTATATGCAGAACTAACATAATACCTTCCTGGTTCAGCAATAACATCTACAGAAGGATCTGGGAAGTAATCATCAAGAGCAGCATTTACAATTTCGGCAATTCTATCGATGGATGTTCCAAAATCACCAGGAAATCCTCCTCCAATATCCAACAAATTAAAATTAAAATCCAACGTTTTTGCGTAATCGAAAACGCTCCTAGCGGCAGCAATGGCTTTTCGAAAAACTGGGGGATCTTTACATCCAGAACCAACATGGAAACTAACCCCAACAACGTTAATACCCAATTCGCGGGCGAGTTTCAATAGTTGCGGTGCTTCAGTTATTGCGTTACACCCGAATTTCATTCCCAAGGGGCATTGGGAAACTGTAGCATCCTGCCGGATTCGGATGACCATTCTAAAACACTTTTATGTAGCCCCACAACAAAATTAATAACAAAAAATAAACATACCTAGCGTCAGGATATAAATCCTTAACTTTATAAAGTTCAGTTTCGTTATCGAAAGTCATCAAATCGACTCCAGTGGCGACGGCGTGTTTAATGTGACTGTTTGGTTTTGCTGGATTAGCGAAAATAATTCGATTCGATTGTACTCCAAGGGATAAAACTTTATTTATTTCAGCCTTTGAAGCACAATCGAAACCCGTTCCTAAAGCTGCCAAGACTTCCAAAACAGTTAAACTATCGTTACATTTAACAGCTAAAAATAAAAAATTTAATTAAGAAAATATTTTAAATCATTTAAATTTGAAATTACCATAAAATGGTTTCACTCTTGGCATAGCGCTAGTCCAAATTTTATGTTTATGGACAATATTGCCAATGTCACAAACATAAAAAGCTTCTTCTTGCATACCAGTGTTTGCAATTTGGTCGATAACAGTCCAGACATTGGTTTGAGAATCGAGGACATGGACGCGCTCGTCCAAACTCAAAGTATCGGCCCTCATGGTGTCGAAGGATATAGAGTTAACAAATAAACCGGCCTAGAATTGATTGAACAGGGAACTTAGTGATAATTCTTATAATCTAGGGATATTAATTTCGGTGTTTGGGCGGTCGGTTGAAAAAAGCAAGGAGGCAGCTATGCGCTCAGAATCGCGCAGTTTGTGTGTGCGGGGTAATGGGGAGGTTCAGCTACTCAAACGAGTCGTTTAGCTAGCAGCACCACGGCGGCTCGGCGTTTAGGTATAACTTCCAATTGAACGGAAGGTGCTCGCTGCCGATTTCCGGTGTAACGGTCGTCACAACGCAACCCTAAAACCAACAAAAAAACACATCAGTCAAAAAAAAATCTTATAACCTTTATATATATAATCATTACGTAATAAATATTGAATAATTTTTTTAAGACAACGAAACTAACTTAGTACGTTGCAGGTCAGGTTATCGCTTTTAAACTATGTTATCTTTAAGCTATGATAAAAAAATGTCATGGTTCACTCGTTATCCGAGATCTATGAATTCTATGCTTAAATTTTTAATCGTCCCTGATAGCAATACGTTGTTGCATTATCATAAGTTTGTGTAATTAATATTGATAAATGGGAATATAATGTAAAACTTGTTGAGTAGAATTTAACAAAGGCATGCAATTTACGTCTCTAAATTGTAGATAATAATAAAAATTATATTTAATACTGGTGCCCAACGAAACATACATAAATTACATAAATCATTAAATTCGATATAACTAGGTTGTAAATACGAACGAGAAATATAAAGCGTTTTTATGCAAGGTTAAAGCAATAATAGATGACATTTAGGGGTGATGAACTTCACCACCTCCGTTATCGATCTGGCGACTCCAAAGAAATATCACGATTAAAAAACGGACCATATATTTAGAATTGATACATTGAAATATACTTGAATTTCATTTTGATAATGCAAGTAAATATAGAAATAAATAAGACTGAGATGAATTCCAGGAATTTCAAAAATCACCAAAAACAACCGATGTTTACTAATTTAACGTGGGAAGAGAAATCCACAATTTCCCAATCGGAAATGATCAAAATGAAGAAGGATTGTGTTAAAATGTTGAAAACGTTCGATCGTTTCTATGCATCGAAAGACTGTTATTGACAGAAATTCAGATTACTTTTACACTAGCACAATCACTAGAACTAACACTAGACCGAAAACTAGAAACATTCGGATTTAGCCGCAAGTCTCAAGACGGCTAAACCCGAATGATTCTAGTTCTAGGTCTTGTGTTAGTTCTAGTCATTATGTTAGTGCAACACTAGACTCAACACTAGACCGAGAATTAGAAAGTTTCGAGTTCTAGGTCCAGTATTAGTTCTAGTTTTCATTCAATAAAAATATACAAGATAGTGACATCTAATGCTAACTAGCGTTATCTAGCACTGTCACTAGAACTAACATTTGACCTAGAACTAGAAACATTCTGATTTCGCCGTATTAAGAGACCCATGGCTAAACCCGAATGTTTCTGGATCTAGGTCTAGTGTTAATTCTAGTTTTCATTCAATAAAAATATACCACCATCTAACGCCGAATAACAATTAAAACCAGAATTAGCACTAGACCTAGAACTAGAAACATTCGGATTTAGCCGCACGTCTCTCAAGACGGCTAAACCCGAATGATTCTAGTTCTAGGTCTTGTGTTAGTTCTAGTCATTATGTTAGTGCAACACTAGACTCAACACTAGACCGAGAATTAGAAAGTTTCGAGTTCTAGGTCCAGTATTAGTTCTAGTTTTCATTCAATAAAAATATACAAGATAGTGACATCTAATGCTAACTAGCGTTATCTAGCACTGTCACTAGAACTAACATTTGACCTAGAACTAGAAACATTCTGATTTCGCCGTATTAAGAGACCCATGGCTAAACCCGAATGTTTCTGGATCTAGGTCTAGTGTTAATTCTAGTTTTCATTCAATAAAAATATACCACCATCTAACGCCGAATAACAATTAAAACCAGAATTAGCACTAGACCTAGAACTAGAAACATTCGGATTTAGCCGCACGTCTCTCAAGACGGCTAAACCCGAATGATTCTAGTTGTAGGTCTTGTGTTAGTTCAAGTGATAGTGCTAGTGTAAAACTAGAACTAACACTAAACGTACAACTACAAACATTCGGATTTAGCCGCACATCTCTCAAGACGGCTAAACCCGAATGATTCTAGTTGTAGGTCTTGTGTTAGTTCAAGTGATAGTGCTAGTGTAAAACTAGAACTAACACTAGACGTACAACTACAAACATTCGGATTTAGCCGCACGTCTCTCAAGCCGGCTAAACCCGAATGATTCTAGTTGTAGGTCTTGTGTTAGTTCAAGTGATAGTGCTAGTGTAAAACTGGAACTAACACTAGACGTACAACTAGAAACATTCGGATTTAGCCGAACATCTCTCAAGACGGCTAAACCCGAATGATTCTAGTTCTAGGTCTTGTGTTAGTTCTAGTGATAGTGCTAGTGTAAAACTAGAACTAACACAAGACGTACAACTAGAAACATTCCGATTTAGCCGCACGTCTCTCAAGACGGCTAAACCCGAATGATTCTAGTTCTTGTATTAGTTCTAGTGATGGTGCAAAACTAGAATTAACACTACACCGAGAACTAGAAACATTCGGATTTAGCCGCACGTCTGTCAAAACGGCTGAACCCGAATGATTTGACTTCTAGGTCTTGTGTTAGTTCTAGTGATAGTGTAAAACTAGATAACTCTTAGGTTCGGTCTTAAGAGACGTAAGGTTAAACCCGAATGTTTTTAGTTTTAGGTCTAGTGTTAGTTGTAGTTTTACACTAGCACTATTAGTNTAATGTAAAACTAGATAACTCTTAGGTTCGGTCTTAAGAGACGTAAGGTTAAACCCGAATGTTTTTAGTTTTAGGTCTAGTGTTAGTTGTAGTTTTACACTAGCACTATTAGTATGGGGAAGTAACACTGTACCTAGATCTAGAATCATTTGGGTTTAGCCGCACGGTTCTAAAGACGGCTAAACCCGAATGATTCTAGTTCTAGTATTTGTTCTAGTTTTACACTAGCACTATTACTATGTAGAATTAACACTATACCTAGTACTAGAATCATTTGGGATTAGCCGCACGTCTCTAAAGACGGCTAAACCCGAATGATTCTAGTTCTAGGTATACTGTCAGTTCTAGTTTTATACTAGCACCGTTACTATGTAGAACTAACACTACACCTAGAACTAAAATCATTTGGGTTTAGCCGTCTTTAGAGACGTGCGGCTAAACCCAAATGATTCCAGTTCTAGGTATACTGTTAGTTCTTGCACTGCCATTAGAACTAACATTAGATCTAGAAATCGGTGAAAAAAATACAAAATGTACCTCTGAAGATTAAATTTTATCAACAAATTTTGTTCTCAACGACCGGTTTCGATTTTTATACAATCGTCTTCAGGTTGTTTGCTACGAATTAAACATAGATCAAAATATCACAAAAACGCATTAAAATTAACATGTATTTACCGTCAAAAAAGTAATTGTTATATTTTCGGACATCCTAATTCCAAAACCTGCAATTTTTAAGTGTAAGAAACGTTTTTTGTAAGATTTTACGTTTTTTTGTGTAATTTTAACAATAGTTTGACAAAAAAACACGACATATCCTCAAAGGAATTTTCTCTGTAACATACTAAAATAGAAGTGACATGCCTCCATTTTTTCCTGAAGAATTGAATCTTTTTTGACGGTAAATACATGTTAATTTTGATGCGTTTTTGTGATATTTTGATCTATGTTTAATTCGTAGCAAACAACCTGAAGACGATTGTATAAAAATCGAAACCGGTCGTTGAGAACAAAATTTTTTGAATAAAGTTTAATCTTCAGAGGTAGGTTTTGTATTAATTTCATCGATTACTATAATTTACCTGAAGACAATAGAGAAATTCATTAATTTATTAGATCTACAAATATTCTAGAAACCCGAATGATTCTAGTTTTAGGTATAGTGTTAATTCTAGTTTTGCACTTGCACTGTCACTAGAACTAATATTAGAGCTAGAAACATTTGGGTTTAGCCTTACGTCTCTTAAGACGGCTAAACCCGAATGATTCTAGTTCTAGGTCTTGTGTTAGTTCTAGTGATTGTGGTAATGCAAAACTAGCACTAACACTAGACCGAGAATTAGAAACATTTGGATTTAGCCGCACGTCTCTCAAGACAGCTAAACCCGAATGATTCTAGTTCTAGGTCTTGTGTTAGTTCTAGTGATTATGTTAGTGCAAAACTAGAACCAACACTAGACCGAGAATTAGACAGTTTCGAGTTCTAGGTCTAGTGTTAGTTCTAGTTTTCATTCAATAAAAATATACAACTAGCGTTATGTAGCACTGTCACTAGAACTAACATTTGACCTAGAACTAGAAACATTCTGATTTCGCCGTCTTAAGAGACCCATGGCTAAACCCGAATGTTTCTGGATCTAGGTCTAGTGTTAATTCTAGCTTTCATTCAATAAAAATATACCAGCATCTAACGCTGAATAACAATTAAAACCAGAATTAACACTAGACCTAGAATTAGAAACATTCAGATTTAGCCGCAGGTCTTTCAAAACGGCTAAACCCGAATGATTCTAGTTCTAGGTCTTGTGTTAGTTCTAGTGATAGTGCTAGTGTAAAACTAGAACTAACACTAGACGTACAACTAGAAACATTCGGATTTAGCCGCACGTCTCTCAAGACGGCTAAACCCGAATGATTCTAGTTCTAGGTCTTGTGTTAGTTCTAGTGATAGTGTAAAACTAGATAACTCTTAGGTTCGGTCTTAAGAGACGTAAGGTTAAACCCGAATGTTTTTAGTTTTTGGTCTAGTGTTAGTTGTAATTTTACACTAGCACTATTAGTATGGGGAACTAACACTGTACCTACATCTAGAATCATTTGGGTTTAGCCGCACGGTTCTAAAGACGGCTAAACCCGAATGATTCTAGTTCTAGTTATAGTATTTGTTCTAGTTTTACACTAACATTATTACCATGTGGAATTAACAATATACCTAGTACTAGAATCATTTGGGTTTAGCCGCACGTCTCTAAAGACTGCTAAACCCGAATGATTCCAGTTCTAGGTATAGTGTTAGTTCTTACACTGCCACTAGAACTAACATTAGATCTAGAAATCGATGAAAAAAATACAAAATGTACGTCTGAAGATTAAATTTTATTCAAAAAATTTTGTTCTCAACGACTGGTTTCGATTTTTATACAATCGTTTTCAGGTTGTTTGCTACGAATTAAACA